TATATATATATATATATATATATAAGGATGTAATTCAATGGGAAACGCTGAGATCGATACATCGTTAATTCAAACGAGAGAAATTCAATTTAATTAATTCATAACTTGTATCCCAGATATTCAACTAACTCCACTTAGTTACAGATTTATGTGAGAAACCGTTTTTGTAGATGCGAGCAATTCACCTTAATAGCAAAGGAATGACAAGATTTGCCCATGTACTATAATCGCTAATTTTCAATTAAAAGTTAAGCACAATATTTTTTTGCCTTTATTAAAGTGTAAATTACTTGCAGTTTAAAGCTCAGTTGTGCAAATTAATGAGGTTATTTAAATACATTAAGTGAACATAGCCACTAACTTCAGAAACATGAAAAATGAAAAGTGGCGTATCTTATCAGAGTGATCTATCAGTAATGTACACCCTTTAAGGATAAATTTTAAAGTTAAGTATTAGGGGGTTGCATTACCTCACAAGGCAAAATTTTCTTTCCTCAAAATGTCGTAAGATGCGCTCTCAGTGACCTCAATCAATGTTCGCTCTGTGACCTCTATCACTCTCTCTCTTAAAGAAGTTTCAACTTTTTAAGAAGAAGGTGTTGGAGTGGGGGGAGAGGAGGGGTTGGGTAGACTAGGCGTTGCTAAAATAGACCAAATTCTATGTGATGACTAAATTGTGCTGGAGGGAAATCATTAAACACGTAGGTTTTAAAACATCTACCGCTTAGAATTCAATGAAAGTCTCTGCTTATCACACTAGGCATTTGACAAAACATACATGCTTAGTAATTTATTTTTAATTCTACCTCTATTTGTATCGGTTTGAAGCGTCTGTTGTTGACTTTTTAAAGGTTGATTATGCACAAAAAAATATTTCCAATTTAAGTGACCCAGGCCTGTCAAAAAGATAGGTAATTTTGGCAGTTTTTGGGATTGCTGTAAAAACTAGCCCCACAGTCTTTCCCTTTTAAGTATATTATTTATTACGAAATTCGGTTGATTTCTAAGATGAATTAATGTTTTGACCATCTAATTATATAAATCTAGGGAAGAAATTACAGAAACTGAAATTTCACTAATGTCGGAAACACCAACTAATTTGGAGTTAATAACTCAAGCCTTTAGAAGAATCAGAGCAGAAAAATTTTATTTCTTTTATTTCAAAGTGGATTAATTTCTTAGTTTTATAAAACATTGTCAATTTTGATATAACTGAATGGCCAAGATTTGGTGCTATTTTTAAATCGTGCTACATTTATTGCTAACTTTCGTTAATCATAATTAGGTTCACATACGTAAACGGATATGTCTTAGACCTACTGTGAAAGACACTTTCTGACACTCATTTTGTCAAGATTGACGTCCTTAAGTTAATAATGTTGACAATCAAGTAGTTTGCACTTGTCGGGTGGGTATATTGTATCGCTTTATTGACAGAAATTAAGCATCATGTAAAAACAAAAGATGATTTCAAGAAACTGTCGTGTATTGTTTGCGACTGAGAAGAAATCAACAAATATCGATACACGTGCGGCAAAATACAACGCTGTTTTGGGATAAGATAATGAGTTACTTGATCGATTAAACCGTATTTTCTTCAAACTTTTGCTTGATACGACACTATAAGGCAACAAAGGGAAATATGATGACATTTTCAGACTGTTCACATTATATTGAAAAAGAAGGGCTGCGCGATAGACTTACCTCCACGTGTTGCATCCTGGGCAACGTATACTCATACGACAAAAACGTCTATTTACCAGCAGTTGACTTCTCACTTCAAACTACCATCACCCCACTGTATGTCATATTCGACTACTTTCACAGAATTCACCTCACCTTTTTTCTACCTTCGTGTTTGCCTCTTTTACATCTTTGAAACACTCTTCTGTTCCCCCTCCCCCTCTCGAATTTTTTTCACTTTGATATTTCTTCTCTGTGAGGCCTGAAGTCACCTAAAGGGCTAATGAAACTATCAAAATGCCTACCATTTGATATAAATGAATATTGTAAAAGAATGAGTCGACTTTTAATTGACGCAAATTGGGTCTAGGATATTGATGACATTTGACCAACAGCTAGGCACTGTGGGAACCTTCGATGCTAATTGAAAACATAACTTAGAGGCGTCTTAAGTAACCTTAGAAAATGCTTTTCAATGTGCTCTAACAGTTTGAAAACCCATTCAGGGGTGATGGCCAATACAATTCAAAAGTTGCAAAACCGGTTTGCAGTTTGACTTTCAGTAATTAATCATCAAATTAGTTCCATCCACTGCGTATTGCAAAAAAAACAAAAGGATATTTTACATTAGGGTGCATTCTCCTGGGCTTTCGTGTTTTGTGCAAAGTTGGAGTGGTGAGTAACTTTTCGCACACAATTTCAATGAATTTCAAATCGACAATGTGTTAAGCTTCTACCTCCCACGCTATACCATAGTTATTGTCATTGTAATTGTCGATGGCAGTTAAAAAAATTGTATATGCTTTTATTATGCGAACTCATTCCCATAAGGGAAATGACTCTGACACCAGTAGGGTCAACAAAAGAGCGACAGGTTAGAAGTCATGTTGTCGTTCACCGTTTAATACCCCTGCTGTTCTAATTTAGGGGACGCGATAGGCTTACCTCCACGAGGTGCACCCAGAGCAATGTATACTCATACGGCAAAAAATCTCTATAAACCGGTAGTTGATTTCAAATTACAACGAGCCCACTGCATGTTATATTCGAACACTTCCACGGTACTCACTTCTCTTTTTTCCCTGTCTGTCTCTTTTACCTCTGTGAATCACTCTTCTGTCCCCCCCCCCCTCCTCCTTACGACTGTTTGTGACTGATGTTTCTCCCCTATGTGAAGTCCGAAGCTAATACTAACCATCAATTTGACATAAATGTTCGAACTTGCTAACCACTTCGATTAGTGAGAAAATGCACATGTACTGATGTAATTCAGTTGCATGAAAAATCAGATAGTGCAAATAACAACTATTCGCATTAAATGAGAGAGCCAATGTATTCAATCTTTTGACTTTGTTTCCTAGTTTCCAATAACAGCAGCAATATGCCTTTGCTCAATAAAAGTGCGATTCTAATGGCAAACCATGTGATAAATTTAAAACTTTTAATAAATCAGATTAAGTCAGGGAGAATTTTTATGCTCTTTTCTGGAGTTAAGAAATATTAACCATCTCCTGTTCATCATTTTAACATGAAAGCGATTAAAAAACTCTCATTAGGAATGACAGTTTATTTAACTTGCGATGAAGCAGGTAAATTCTAACGAAGGTGCTCACTTTTTTACCCAATACGTTCCAGGAGAACCAGATCGGCAATTCCAAAAACAGAAACGAAAATAAAGGCCGTAGAGCCCATGGTAGTGAGAAAACCTGAAAGCTGGTTGCTTTGAAGTGAGTAGTACATAATGAGGCCACTAAGCATGAGAACCCCTCCAGCAAATTGAACGATCAAACGAATGATTTCAAGCACTTTCTTCACACAGAAACAACGGAAAATATCTAGTAGAAAGGCAAGGCTGACACATCCAGCTCCAGCAAAGAGGATATAGTGGATATTTTTATATTCACGCGATTTGCAACCTCTGACTAAATCTCCACAGGCCCACCGAGAGGTACAGAGTCCAACCCAAATCAAAATTATGGAAACACATTGAGTTACCAGTCCAATATACATTTTCCTTTTCCTTTCGTTTTAAAAACAAAAACAAAACGACACTTCAGATAACGAAGTATTGATTTTACGTTTGCAAAGATTAATTCGCTTATTGGAAATTAAATTTATGCATAAAGTTATATTTCGTTCAGATGCTTTGAGAAGATGATAAATAAAGCACGTTTAAGACGCTTAATTCCATGAAATTGACTTCAAAAGGTTGTCAATAACACAGATACCATTTTTTGTATTGTTTCATTTAAAGACAAATTTATTATTTAATTTAAGCATGTCTATGTTTAGCATTGAGAGAGAACCGAAGTGATAGCAGAATATGGTATGCTTAAGAGTTTGAATTGCCAAACAATTTAGTACCGTTAAACATTAAACATGTCAGAGGAAAGCAATCAAGCTAGACCGATCGATAACTTGGCACAGTTTCCAACATAGTTGTGATCTCTCTCTCTCTCTCTTAACATTCGGCTAAACATTCTATTTACCAAATTTAATTGATTTTTAAAAAATGAATGAAATTAAAATAAAATAAATTCTCCCAAAATGACTTCCCCATTGCCTTTAATTTTATTATTTTTATCAAAATAATTGCAGATAGCACAATATATCAAGGTCTGTTCTAGTCATGCTTTATAGAAATTTTTGTTAAAATGGAGATTTATTTTATTAGGCACTATACCAGGTTAAAATTATTATATTTTTTCAGTCCATTCCCAATTTTATAATAATTCGAGCTGTTATAAAATAAATGAAAGTTCCATCGAATGGGGAAAATATTCCTTATTATCGGTATGTTCCAACTGAAAACAGGCGCATTTTACCCTCGAAAAGGTATATTTTTTATGATCTCGAAGTACATTGTATTAACATTAACTTATCGTCCTAATTAAAGGAATTTCTTTAACTAGGCTTGGTATCTTCAGAGTAATGTAAATATCAAGTTGGCCTGGCTAGGTTTGGAAAGAATTAAGAATTCCTAGGTCACACAGGTTAAATGTCAAACAGGTAAATTAATGAAGTACGAAATTCCATTTTCTTTCGCTTACTGCCCAGTAGGCAAGTGTTTGAAATTCACACAAATATGAGTGCCTAAGAAAAAGGTTCATTACATTTTGCTTAAGTTATATGACTCAACCAACTGTTTTGAACATTTAAAATCAAATATTTTTATTCTAAACGACAGTCGAGGAGAGTGTTAAGGGCAAAATACAGGGGGTTTCAAGATATTAAGGGGGTATTCTGGTCTAGAAAAAAATTTTCGAAATTTTTTTCTGCATATTTTCATAGTTTAACCATTCAAGAATATGTCTACGACAGGATTTTCCAAAATTCAAATTAGTTTTGGAGATATAAGTATTTTGCTGAGCAGGCATCCAAATCGGTTGGGCTGCAATTAATCGAACAAAAGACATAATGGGTTCTCCGACTACCTGAAACCATATTTCTTAGTAAACCCTTTTGATCCGTTATATATATATATATATATATATATATATATTTCACGGCAATTGATTGACGGAACTGGAAAACACCAGTTTTACAAGTGCATCAGCAGCACAATTGGGGAAATCAAATGCTGAAGAAGTAATTATATATAATAAGTACGGTAACTGTGTTTTGGAGTTTTTCACGGTCATTTCAGCAATTTCTTCGTTTGTTTCGTGTACTACATACAACAACGAGATTAGATTTTCAAGAACGGCTCAACACGGACTCGGGTTCAAAATTGCATTACAATGCAGTTGCAATAGTCCACGCTACATTCCATCATGTCCAATCATTGACACATCCTTCAAAGTTTATCATCAGAAGAGTTATTTACTCGAGGTTTGGATTCAGAAACGCAAAATCATAATGTGTCTCTAAACTCACTGATATGGACTTTCGCTCCAAAGCATATCCAGATCTCAGATCATTGAAATTGAAACATTTATTGCTGTATGAATTTTTAATGAAGGATTTATATCGATATTGAAGATGATAACGATTATGGGAGTGAAAATTGGTCCCGAAGCTCATGCATTTGCTATCAGACGAGACAGCGCTCGGATTGACCGTTCCGAGATACGAGCTTCCAGCTCATCAAACGAGGCTAGAACCGCTCGAATAGAAAACAGAGACGCCAAAATAGTTTTTTACGAAGTCGAGGAAGATCCGAAGTATGCAGGAGGAATAGCAGATTGAATAAATGGAAGTTAAAATTATAATTTTATGACTTAGACTGCAAATAATTTTACTTGAAACTTTAAACGCGTTTTTCTCAAAACTGTTTTTTTTAATCTGATACCCACGATTTCTCAGATTCTGCCAAACCGATTTACTTGAAATTTACAGAGAGTCTTCTTTAGGGACTTGGTTATGTTCGGAACTACGACCATCCCAAATTTTAATTTTTAATGTTTTAAAAAAATCGAAGAATGTTCGAAAAAGTGGTACAAACATGGTTTTTTTCTTTAGACAGTCGCCATTTTGTAAAGAAAAATATTTCTAAAACTTTTCTGTAGTTCCGGACATAGCAACATAATTGTAGATTGATAATCTTTTTTATTTTTTTAGATTTCAGATTGCTTGGAGAGTTAAAATCGTGGGTATGGTCATGCACCATAATTTTGAGAAGCTCCACTCCATCAGCTGATAACTAAAGGAATTTAATAGTTTTATTTTTTTATTTTTTTGTATGCTTCTAAGGTGAATAAGAAATGTATAAAAAATTGATAATAAAAATATTGCTTGCTTTTTTTACAACACTTCAAAAATGACCTAAAATTCATCTCTCTAGACCAGAATACCCCCTTAAAGTTCAGCGAGCAAACAGAATTCAAAGGAGACAACAGAGACAGCAAAATTACACCTCACTGTGAATTATTAAGTCGGTATAGGGTAGGTAAGGATAAGCGGAACAGTCAAAAGACGGTTGGTATCCAGATGGGAAGATAAGTGGTAAAATCATTGAGATTAAGAGGTAGAACTTAGGTGGGGGGAGGATTGATAGCCGTATCAATGTATGCCTTGAGATTAGTTCCAACCAATTGATTGTGGTTTCAACTGTTTCTGAGCCAAAGTACGTTAACGTGAGTAACTCATGCAAATTTGACAAAAGAATCCGTATACTTTCCTTGAACTTGATGTTTCTAAAGGAGTTTAGCCCTGGTAAATTGGAGGATTATCCAATGGAATTCCTAGGTATCTAAGCGAATTTCATTGCAATGCTAATCGATATTAGATTAGTGCATTTTAACTTGAACAGCTGTTGTTCCCTCGGGGTTTAAGGCTGCAAATAAAAGTAACAATTTGAATAAATTTGACTAACTAACTGATAGTCAAATAGCATGAATGCAAAGTTTAATTCTTTCAAAAATTAAATGAGCAAATCGATGAAACAATTAAAATGCTGGATTTGGAATTACCAGAGTGACGCAGTGAAATAAGATTCATAGTTAAAAGGGTTGAATTTGTTTGGGAAATAACTTACTATAAACAGTTACATTATTTCTCCTAAGGGTCTCTCTAATTCCTCACTCGTTAAATATTGACAACATAAATAGAATTTGGAAGGAGATGGTTGCCAAGACGTTCTAAAACCTGTTGAACTAGATCAATTTAATCTTAATTGTAATCGAGATCGATTACCAGATTAAGCTAATGACTGAATGAAATTAAAATGTTCAATGATTGAGGTTATTTTAAAGTTATTTATAATGATTGATCAGTTTCAGATTTTGTGATAGTTGGGAAAAAGAGGTCGATTCCACATCTAAACGTGTGTAAAAATCAAATGGGTTATGTATAAATAGGAACATCTAACAATATGCATAAGGGGTGAGCGATAGACTTACCTCCACCTGGTGCAACCTGGACAACGTATACTCATGTGGCACATAGTTCTATAAACCGACAGTTGACTTTTGACATTAAGCTACTATGACCATGACCCCACTTTATGTCAAATTCGATCACTTCCTTTTCCTTGTCTTTGTGTCTGTCCATCTTTTTTACATCCGCGAATCACTCTTCTGTTCTTCATCTTGAAATTTTTTTAATTTGATGTTCCTCCCTTCTGTGAAGCTCAAAGTCAGCTTAAGGACTAATGATAGCTACCAAAACGATTGCCATTTGAAGCAAATAAATTTATCGAACAGACATCTACTTTCCAGAATAATCGAGGCATTTTCTATCACCTTAACTGGAATTATCACATTTTTGGCATTTTAGTTCCTTACATATAAGTTTATCTTACCCTCTCGTAATTTTCGTTTATTTTCTTTGAAAGTTCACTATTCGAATTTGATGCCATTTAAAAAATTGTTTTAGTTATAAAATCCTCTTAACCCTTTAACATCTTTCAGATGACAAATCCTTAAAGCCATATAAGGATTAATTACATCTCATGTGAATGATTCCCTACCGTTTATTCCATTTGAGATTACTTCAACATTAACAGGTAAGTCAGATCAAATTTCTAAGAAAATAGCATAATAACATGTAATTCGAAACCGACGCTGTGGTCAATATGCAGAACAGAAACTTTGTTAATCATGTTACAAACGTAACACACACACACACACACACACACACACACACGCATAGACACACAATTCATGTTCAAACATAGCAACAAGCAACATACTGCCTGTATGCAGTAGCGCTCTACAGACGGGACTTTGTTCAGGTGTATGCATTAGCGTATTTTGCACAAGGTGAGTTACTGAGCTACTGTAGAGAAAAGGGAGGGAAATGCAATGCGCTGCTACACGATAGGGGAGGGTGGGGGAGGGGGAGGGAGCGGATGGGGTGGGGTGAGGTGGGGATGGCGAAGGTGGAGAGATAGACAGTCGTTGGGCCTGCAGGCCAGCCGAATAGATCGATGTTTAATTCCCGCCAATGCGGTGGGCGCGAATCGAAAAGAGGAAGGTGGAAGGGACGAATTTGGCAGTGTGTTAGTCAGCAAGGTGTGTGTGTGTGTGCGTGTGTTGGCTGAAATTCGAATTCTTCGAGAGCGGTGGTAC